GATAAAGTCTGTTCTGTTGTACCAGTCTCTTACCTATTAGGGCTCGGGTATTCTACAGTGGCGTCGGATCAGGGCGCAGACATGTTGGACCACCTGGCCTCAGCTAATCCCGTGTCTCCCTGCGATCCAATGGCATGCGGGAAAGGAAGGCATCCAACCAGAGAAGGACATGGATGAGATGCAGTATATAATTAGCGGCGTGGCCAGCGTGGTGGACTCGGATGGAAGGCGCCTGACTTGTGTTTCTGGCTTGTTTTTGGTCAATGAAGCCTGCTCTGTTGTACCGGTTTTATTCCTGTCAGAAGTTGCCGCAGCGTGGATAAACGTGACTCGCTGCTTTGTTTACAAATTAAGCATGTCGACCTCATGTGAGAAAGCTAAGTAACAAACGTGTGGATCTCCACAATGGCGAAATCCCGCTACTTTATTGCTCTTTTACAGGAAAGAAGTATAAGCGGTAGTGTCAAGGCATAACACACATTGATCACACCGTTCGTGTGCACTTAAGGGAACATAGGTGCATTCAACGAGGTGCTATGTTGCGTCACTAGTGCTGAATTACAACTTTGATGGTGTTTCAGAGGAACTTCAATTGCAAAGACGTTTCTTGGTATTTGAGCACAAGTACAATCATGATGGACACTCTGATTGCTTGCATACAGACTGTCGTATCTAGAAGTGATTAGGGATGCTGATATAATAACCCGACAATTGCCTTTAAGAAACTGAGGGTGCTAGTGCTTAACAGTCTCTAGCAAGAAAACTTCAAGACAGTAGATTAGTGCAATGTTGTTCGTTTATTGTAGCTGCAGCCAGTTCGTGAAAAGAAATGTCCCATTTGGTCTAGGGCCTGTTGTGTTTGGTGGCATAAATGCACAAAGTCTCCTGCCACGTGCGCTGCTTTAGCGTCTTTCTTCTACTTGATCTCGGTGCCTTAGTTCTTCGCATGGGCTACACACAGTCTCCGGGGTCCCACGCACTGATATCTGATGTCATGTCACATTGACATGAAAGCACGTTGGCCATGGTAAATTGACTTTAGGGTGGTACCGGTGGTGATAGTAGTATGAGAACGCAATGGCCTTAAAAGCTTGCGTTCGGTTCCCTGGTGCCCTTGTTCCCATACGTAAGATGCGCTCTATCAACCGACATATTGTCAAGGGACCAAGAATAAACATGATGGTCTTCAACCGAATGTCTTACGACAGTGGCATTCATCGTGGCCACAAAATGAGTATTATACTCTGGGCGATGCTAATGCGTAGTGAACTGATTGCCTTACCGAGTTGCCTTTAAGTGACTGGAAATACGCACAACCGTCCTAAGGTACAGGCTACAGTCGTATCACCAAGGCGTACAACACACAACTCCAAGTGTTGTGACCTGTTGAGAGTATGCTCTCGGCGCTGCAGAGACCAGCTTAGATAGGGAGTGGGAGTCGAAAGTAAGCTAGAAACACTCGTCACTCAAAACCACGAGAAACAACCTACAATAATTGACGAGAAACAGTAGAGATAAATGCATCATCCCGGGGGTAATTAGAGCTCGTGCGTGATTAGCGACAGGCGGAGTGGCTAAAGTCCTGGTGTTTGAACACAATTTTGGTTGTGGACGCGAAAGGAAGTTGAAACATGGATTTATCTGACCTGAAGAGCATAATCGTATATTTGTACTGGGATCCATTGGAAACTAGTACAATTAGTGGACTGTAGGGCATTGCACAGGAGGAGAAATACACCAAGTGGATGGAAATCGTGATTTAAATGCAACATCACATATGTTAGACAGAGACGACCCACTGGCAAGCAATCACGTGAAACCTAGGAGAGATTCCCATAAGATAAAAATCGGAACGATGCTATGATGGTGGCAGTACTTTGGAGACACTGCAATATGCTAATGTCGTGTTTATAAAACGATGGCTAATGCCTTAGTTCTTAATGCAGCAGAAAGTTCAAGACGTAATTTTAGGCACTTGACGGAGGACCGATAACTTTAAGATGATGGATCACGGAACCTATATTAATTGGTAGGAGCCTGTATGAAACGGCGAACTTGAAATTCGTATCAATTACATACGGACTAGGCCGTTACACGCAGATGAAAATCCAACTTACTTGACTCGAGCTTGAAAAATGCCAGGAATGGCCAAGCGCAATGTTTGATTCAGGGGAGAACAATGGTGCCTTTCCATGTAAGGCTCAGTAACAAATGAGTGAATTGGCTGTGGTGGCGTTGACCCATGTCGGCTAGCCAAGGCCTAGATTAGAAACTGCGGGCAAACGTGGACTGATCACTGGAGTCAGACTTTACGGCCAAGTTAAATTAACCTCACAGCCTATGGTAAACCTTGGTTAGGGTAAAGTAGCCCCAATTATTTAGTGCAAATAACTGACTGAAATAGAGTTGACTGCGTCCGAAGGCATCGGAGATTGACGGACATTCGACTTTACAAACTTCCTGGTCTTAAGCATCAGGTGGGCTTCCGGATGGCGTCTTGAGACTAAGAAATAAGTGTGTCGATCGTTTTCTGCTCCACTTTTTAACAGAAAAACACTTTTTTAAATCAATTGCAGTTACGGGATGCCTGTTGAGCAGGGTTCATATTCTATGTAATGAACACACCTGGAAGTGATTTTGTGGCACATTCAACGATTTTACAAGGAAGTTGGTTTTCTGGCAGTCAGGGGTATGTTCTCCTCGGGTTTTGCACTTTCTTTTCACTTCTATGCCAGGTCACCTTCTTGTGAAGTATCATTCTGGATTTAATCTCAAATGAATGGTTTTCGTGTTCGTGGAGTGCACAGCAATTACCTCCCGGATCTCATGCATCGTATTTTATGCGTTCTAGTGACGTCGAAACAAAGTTTGTTATATGTTCAACGCATTCCTTGTGTTAGCCTTTGTACAGAAAGCAAGAAATAGAGCATCAGCACAGAGCGGTGAATGTGGATTTCCACGTGGAATTTTCCGATCAACTAGTTGGTGTTATGCTGATGTCGCACTTACGTTTCTACCAGATTTCCAGTAAACTTACTTTCTCAATGTTAATTTCTGAATGTTAGGAGGTGCATTTGCACGCTGACACGTAAGTGAAGTGTGATTAATGCCTCAGGTTGTGATTGCAATCAAACTCGAAAGTTGGTAACAAGATTATGGCAGTTGCTTTTCTACCCAATTGCGTCGTTCGATGTTTAAGAATATTTGTTTAGTAAGTTGTCTCTGTTTGTATTCAAAACATGCCAATAAATTGTGGCGCAGAACCGAGAAAGTGCCTTTCGGGAGGTTGACTGCCTTAGGACGAGCACCATGTAAAGTGAGGCGTCTTTCGAACCAACAAGCGGTCAGTATTAACACGAAATGACGCGTTTGTTGGCTACGGAGTCGAGATGAGGTGGGGTTATCAAGATAGGACCTCGTGTAACAAGCACCTTCCCATGACGTGGAGTAAAGAGAGTAATGATGGTCGAACGATTCCCAGGTGATAGATGCAGTCATTTTAGTGTTGTGGCAACACTGACAATCCAACAAAGCGTTTACATCACCAGATTCAATGGGGCTACTCTCCAATGGAACAGCTCAAGCAATAAATTACTAGGAGGGCAGTGGAATGTTTGAAGGATCCGTTGTATCACTTACTGAATATCCAATCACAGAACATCAGTACTAGCCCGCTTGCTGGCATGATGTGTCACAATGAGAAACACAAATACTTTTGTGTGTTTTGCAGAATAAAAACATGGGATTCGCCGGCGATTGAAACTCAAAAGAGCATTTAGTGCCTCCAGAAGCAGACACTCTGAGAGTTGGGTTCTAGGGTCAAACAGGTAGTGTTCAGGATAAATAATTATTAACATAGAGGTCACATTTAGGCCCTGCACACCTAGGTTAGTTTACTGAATATAACAGCACACGGAGGTAAAACTGCAAGCAGTAGATCGGTGGGCTTCACAAAGGAAAGTGTTTCCTTCGGTGCGTACGGCAGCACAGGTTGGGCTAGAGTAATTTATATTTTGGCTAGCCGTTTCGCGTGAATAAATGAAACCAAAGTGAGGGATGTGTTGATCGCACAGTTGAGCGAAAAACATTCAGCAAATTGGCTGCCTTCACGAGAATTGACGCTTGTTTTGCTTCATGACTCGGTAACCTTGTGGTCATTGCGCTCGCCATAAAACGCACCGAAAACATGGCATTTAACAGTGAAACTGAGCGTGTGAGATGAAGCCCATAAAGTATGGGAGATATGCGACAATGATCGCAAGCCCACTTGCACAATTTCACCAGGTGGCTGGAAAGCAGGAATCGAGGCCGAGGCTCATTCGAAACAGGAACCTCGACATGTTTTAACTTCTTGAACAGTACCTCGGGAGACGTAACTGCACGTCCTCGATCCTGGGTACACCGGTGCAAGGCAGCAGGACAGTATGGGCCAGGTACTTTCCACGACTAGGCAGGAGCACGAATTTAGTTCGGGCCATTTAAGTTAGTGATTATTCCATACGCCGGTTACTCAGCAAGTCATCGGTTACGCTGCAAACTGTTGGTCCTATATTCGCAACTGCACATAGAAAAAGCGTATTTCTGGTATTGGTGGTGCTCGAGGAAACTTTGTGAAACCCACACTTGGCAAGTACCAAGTCACAATTATTGTGTCCTGACATAGAGTTGGCCCATTTACAGTTTACTTTTCAACCAACAGCTCGTTGATTGGAGCCGTGTTTGGAGTAGTGTGACATCATGGCGACCGTTCTGAGGTCGGGTTTCCAGACATCAAATTACCTGGTGACCACATCGATATTAAACTTGTGTTAAAAGTCATTCCGAAGGGTCACACAATCTCTTAGCATATTGCGTCTGCAAAATACAAAAGACAGTATAGGTTGTTTGCCGGTTCATGTGGCTTTTAATGAATAGTGAGAGAAGGTTGATTGGCATTGAGATTGTGAATTGCTTTAGATGAAGCCTCGATGCTTTGTTTGCAGTGCGGTGGCAGATGTGGTCCCCGCAGCATCGCTGGTATTTCCAAAAACTGGAGTGACACCACCGATCGCACTTCCCGGTGACCCACCAACCATTGCGAAACCAGGCGATGCCCGAGTGTCGTTCATGACACTAGTAGTGGGCACAGGCGTCGTAACATGTGCCGGAAAAGCCGACGACCACGTGGGCGTTACGAGGGGTGTCTGCTTCGTCAGGGCGTCCCCAGCCATTAACTGTGCGGCCACATGGTTTCTCTGGAGCGTTTCTCGAGTCATCCCGTCAACTGGTGTGGGAAACGTGCCCGTAAACGCGCTTACAGGCGAGACACCTAGTGGATTCGGTGCGGCATTGAAAGGTTGCTGGTGATGGCCCCCATCGAGCCAAGGGTTTGCACCGTAAATATATTGAGCAAGGGCGAACGGATTTGGAGCACCTAGCATCGACACCGGATGGTGTAGGTAAGGGCTATGTTGGCTTTGGAAGTCGGGCAGTGACGAGGAGAGGGGACTGGCAGAGTGACCGGGAGTAGGCGTAGTTGGAAACATTGCGTGAGACGTCGCGGCTGCCGTTCCTGGATTCGCAACATTGAGAGTAATAAGACTCGAGAGGAGGGCGGGATTCACTTGCCCGGTCCCGAGTAGCGGCGCTGGCGTAGCTGTCTGGTTGGCGGTTGCGAGAGACGCGAATAGTCCTAGGTCGCTTAAGCAGAAAAAAAGCAATTACCGATGTCAATTGTGATCACAGACATGCAGAGAAGGCCATTCTTACTGCTATGGTAGGAGTTACCGGATGGCTAGTGCATGGAAGCACTGAGCTAAGTGAAAAGTGCATAATTAAAGGGATATTGGTCGCTTTAAGATTTCGTGAATGACGAAACATCGAGAAAGGTGAAGTGCCACGTTGAAATAGGTTTCCTTTTTCCCTGGACAAAACAGTCATAATCTTTCATTCCTCGAGAGGCTAATTCCATTCCGAAATCTACGGAGCACATAAAAACACCCAAAAATACACACAACCGTAAGTCGTCAAGGTCTTTTGAAGCCCAGTTCATCAACCCCATCCGTATCAGGGGCCTGAGGAAACACTACTTTGTTTGAACAAGAAAACCACACAAGACCATGTACATTTGCATGGGAAGAGCTTCCTGACTGAGAGGACATGGATTCCGCAATGTTACTATGGCCTGAAGATTGGAGTTGTGTTTAGAATCACTAGCGACACTGGATGCATCAAATTCTCGAGGCAACTATATCGAGGGCGACACAGAGAAGCTACGCAGGCGGTGTTCCTCTTGATGTTTCGTCCCGAATTCTCGATAGCGCTCCTGACCTCGAAATTCAGCGACTCAGAAGTCATGTCTGATACCTCCTTGCAAAATACTCATTCGGTGAGGAGTAGGGCCGTGAAGATGATCAAGAGAGAAACGTCGGAGGATCACGCAACAATTGAATGCAATCCGATTGAACTGCAGGTGATCACGAAAAAATGCACTGCATCGCACAAGTGTGCTTACGTATTCGACTTCCAGTGCGAAAGTTCTGGTTGGAATCTGATCAAATTTCATCTTGGCTTCAAGTCACCAATACAGAAGAACGTACCACGCGCCGGAATACCATGAAGAGTCCTGTCTAGAAACCACCAGAACGCCAATATAGGGACAACGTATTGACCAGTTTGTAAGAGAAATTTAAAACAAATTATTGTCACTCATCGGTTACTAGCAGCCACAGTAACTCGATTAGGGTGCAGCTCAAAATAAAGGTGATGGAACTCCAAAAGAAAAGTAGTCACCGAGCTTTTACACTGGGTTTGATCACACGATCACGTCTAAAGTTGTGTGAAATATTATACAAGACATTTGGTTCCTAGCAGACCCATAACACCCACCGATAATCGACACCACCGACTAAGAACTAGGGTTTAGCGAAGTTCCATGTTGACTTGGAATTCCGAACATCACGTGCCACGACATGCACCTGGAGGTTTCGTTACGATGGACCGCCACAAGTGCCTTTGATCAACACCGAAAGTTGTACTTTGGATTCTCTTAACATGGAAGCCGAAGACTGCCGCATCTGAACAGACAATGGTAAATATCGGCAATGTTTAAAGTAGAAGGTGAATTACTCAGAGCTGGCGAGATTTGTTACAAAGAACCCACCAAGAGTTGCCTGCCGGAACTGCTTCACTGCAGATTATCAGGGGCATCAATCTGAGGGCCAACAAGAGTTGTAAGTTGGGCTCTAGCTGTTCCAAGAGACTTAGTACACACACACACACACGCAGTCTTAGCTGGAGGTTGCCTTTTTTGATCAGCACCTTGGAGAACCAGACTAAGTCTGCAGCGGTTCGGAAATGACATCAACGAAATTTCGACTCCCGCCTGTGGGGATCATGATGCAAACGTGTGCCATCAATTGCTGAAGGTGCGTGAATGTTTCTCAGCTTGTCTATAAAGCAGCTTCCCAAGCTTCAAAACGATTGTTTAATGGTTCTTATATCCACCGTACGACGAGGGATTTGAACTATGCAAATAAAACACTCTACCAAGCATGATTGCGGGTTGTGTACACACCCCTTTAAACTCAAAGCCATGTTAAATAGCCACACACACACGTGTGAGTGCACACAGCACAAATTTCATAAGTATGTATGTAAATATGAGTAACTGATGAATGCGTTGCATGAAGTTAGACAAAAGCAGCGGCTGCGATCACACTGTCCGAGAAACCACCCTAACCCCGTCGTCGCCGACACTGCTTTTCCATGAAGTCTTTAGAAGAAAAATGCTTAGTTTACTGTAAGGAGGCCTAAGTCATACCGAATCACACAACTTTTATGCAGATTGTATTCTTATTCCGGACATAGCGGACTACGCGTGGCATTATTGTATGGATTAGGCTAGCGGGGTTCTTGTGAAGAAGGCTACCAAATGCAGCATCTTCACATATACTAAGTGGGAATTTAAGAATCGCTTTCTTCATTATCGTCCACCCAGCCCTGATTGGAATACAAGTCTACTGGGTGAGGCAAAACAGTGCCTTAATCAACTAAAGTAAGGTCGACATTCCTTTGAGTCAAGCTACCTGTGCTAAATCGCAAATAGTTTAGGGAAAAAAGTACTCGACATCAGCAGATAGTACTGCGCTTTCTAAATCTGAATGTGACAAAATGCGAAAAATGTTGCAAGTGTTAAAGTAGATCACTGAATAATTGTGGATTTTAGCAAAAGGAATATATATGTTCTAAGAATTGACGTTTAGTCATATCTCGATTAGTTAATAAAAGTTCTGAAAATTGTCTAAGGCCACCTAGGCATGGGCACTTTGTTCTAGTGTCGATGGCATTGGTGGTGATATCCTCGATATCCTCTTTCAAATTCAACACACATTTCTAGCGATAACGAGAGAACCTAATCAATTGGTATAACCAAAAGGGACCGTTCTGTTTAAAAATACCCTTCTCTACTTTGCCCTGACCAAAGCAAAATAAAAGTGTTACTATTTGGTATTCAGGGTTTTACCGTGCTAAGTTTAAAATAGACAAGAGGTGAAACTTTTTGGCTGAATTTCACGTTCTGCATGCAACATATAAAATGCGAAAATGGAAATATTATGTTCAAAATTTTGAAAATTTAAAACTTTAGCCCTAAGTTATTTGTTTGAAACAGCATGTTAGCGTTCTGCAAACTAAACCTTGTGAAAGTGTAATGAAGAGTAACAGTTAAAAAATGCATTCTTTAACGTTGGCATAATTTAGGTAGGCATTCTAAAACTGACAATATAGAAGTAGCTACGTTGGCTTATTTAAACAAATGCACCATTAATTAAAGATAAGGCAGAATGTCTTAGTAGGCACGGGTGAGCATATTATCCACCCTAGTGACATGTTCTCTATAATTAAGACGAATTATAGCACGGATTTTTGTTTTCTCGGTTTGTTCGATAGAGGCGATTAAACAAATGCATTTGGGTTGACAAAAAATGGGTTTCAGGAACGAATACTATAACTGCTAAGACCACTACAACGATCACTAATTTCGGACGTCGTTACGTGTGTAATTTGTCCGGTAATTTCCACTTTTAGGGATGTTTCTCCCACTAAGGATGCGCAGATATGTTTACTTAGCACGGAAGGGACAATTAAGAAACAGAGCTTTCGAGTAAAGTTGTCGATGGTTATCTGAGGGATCTGAACTGCTGAAACGTTAAAAAGCGCCGAACGCACGACGGGGTCAGATGGTACGGAGAGAATCAGCTGAAGTCTAGGATTCGGAAAATCAAAGGAGATATTTAATCAATCACGCAAAAAGCGCTGCAATGAACAGCCAAAAAGAACAACAAGCACACACAAACGTCAGAACTAACAATGCAGTTATGTCGAAGCGCAAAAAAGGTTTAGTTGTATACAAATAGAGAGCAGGTAAAAAATTGGGAAACCACTGCAAGACTAACAAGCAGGATCCAGAGTAACTACCTTTACTTTCACCACGATTGCTCTGTGAAGTTGCCTAAGAAAGGTTTCAAACGGATCCTTTTAGATACAAGACTACTAAAATTGATGGCTGGTTTTAAATTGAATTTAGCTGCAAAGGTAGATGCTATTTTACAAAATACGATAAAGGGACGATTAACTAACTAAAAATGGTTTAAGCAACTGCAGGATTTGTTCTAAATGGAAATATTTTTATTGCCTTAAAATACTTGGACCGTATTGCTTCACGGTTTATGGTAGATAAACACGATATTAGGCATTGCTGAGTGACTTCTAGATGTTGTTATCGGAATAAAGGCTCGATATTTTTTCTGCTAATACGGTTTGCGTTGCACAAGTCCTCAATGTAACTATCGCATTAAAGTTTATTGGTTGTTATGATGTAAAGGTGAGACATCTGGTCCCAACCATTCAAAATAGTCAACTGCATGATGTTTATTCAAGGCTCAATGGAGAAGCAATGAGTAAAATGTAAATCCTTTTAAAGTATTTAAAACTGTGAGAAAAAAAGAGCGTAATAATGTTGACTATTCAATAGCTCACTGTTCAACGTGAATTCAAGTTAGCTGAATACTGTTGAACATTCCCCAGATGTGAATGCTTAATAGGTGGAAAAATTCGGGTCAAGCATAAAAGAGTATTTCGAGGCACCTATGCGCTGGCCACCTGAGTTCTCTGCTATGGCTCCTACATCTAGATGGCCGCTAAACGTTTGAGCTAATCAACAATAAAACTAAATTTTCAAGCCTAGGCTCATTAAAATAACCACGCTTTGTAAACAAAAAAAATGGTAATCTACACGGAGCATCATCAAGGTTAGCTATTTAAAGAATTATGCTATATATTGTGGCCTTTAGTGTTATTTCTACATTTAGCTGACAGTTGCTTTATTCACTGTTATTCATCAAACTCTGCCTGTGGCGTTTGTCAAGGGATACGGGGAAAGCTTACTGTAAACAGCAAGGTCACCTGTTCGGAGTGCTGCGTTTTCCACAACGTAGGGATTATAAAGTGACACGTGACCAAAGGTGGGGGAAAAATAAAATCGACAACGACGACGTGATGTCGAATTAGTGATTAGCGAATGTTTAGTTGCTCGGTCAAACATAGAACAAAGTTAAACGCATTTTTTAATGTCACAATTCTGATTATTTTATTAAGTTACAGGGACAGAATATAATGCATAATCTCAGAAAACACAACTTACGCGCCAGCCATCGCCAAAAGATTCGAGGCGTTTGCAACTAAAATAATGCAATAGTCCGATTTAAAAAATTTCAAAACTCAACAATGTAACGCATCATTAGTTGTGGTGTCCCATGTATTATTGTTAATTTGTTTACACTGCTTAATTATTGTTAATTGAAAAAAATTATCTGAAGGGTCGCACATGGCATATTACGAGAATGAGAATACACGAAAAAACTCAACAGCGGAAAACGACACAGACCAGTCTAAAAGATTTAAGCCGAACACCATAATGAGGTTAGGTGGTTGGGAGAAAAAGTGGATATTGACCGATGAGTTTTTTCAATTGATATTATCAATTCCACTTTGCCTAATTTCACTGCTTTCGTACTGAGCCAGGTGAGAAATCGTGCAGGTCCGGCCGGGGCTTGTGGAGAGTCAGCGCAGAGCTTCTGCACAATCTGCCTCGGTCCACCGCCCCCCGCCCCAGCCGTAGCCTGGCCGCAAATGCGGGTGTGCGATTGGTGGTGTGAGCTTAAAACTGAGGGTCGCAGTAACACCTGGCCCGCAGCAACCGGCTCTTCTAAATGACTCGCAAGACCGCGAAAGAGGTGAGCTTGATGCTGGCGATTTTAGTTGCGACCTTTTGAGGAGGTGTTGGATTTTAAGAAAGGGCGATAAATTTGCAGCATGTGTACTATTTCGTATCCGATAAAATGGCACCAAAAAATCCACCCTTCCTGTTGCAAATCAAATTAAAGAGTGATAATTTGGTCTCGTTTGAAGGGGTTCGAAATGGCCTCCAACTTAGTAACAGCTTTAGAAGCAAAGCAAGTGATAATGCGAATAAAAGGGAATACAATAATACAGACGATAATATAGAACCTGTTCCATGAGGAAGATGGGGAAATTCAATAACTTTAACAAAGTATTCTGGCTTTACGTTTATTAACTATCAAAATTCTGATGTAATAGCAAAACAAAATCTGGAAAATCACGTGGGATGTAGTCTAGGTGAATAAAAGAACTTCACGATTTAAAATTTCGTGTAGCAGTAGTTACTTGATTAGAAATTTACGCCACCGTAGCGAATTGGGAGGTAAACTGAAGATATATGCAAACTGACCACTTTGTAAAGACCGACACACATGTTTGTTCGAATTCAACAGATGTTTAGACAGATGTTTAGTCACCGCATAATATTTTTAACCTCGAGTCCGTTACGGAAAACGCCAATACTCTGTCACCGGACTACGACCACTACGTAAGTAAGAACTCTTACAAGGGGGTTCAGGGTCCTCTGTGACAGTGGAGAGCCACACAGGATACCACAATAAGTAGCGAGGTGTACGTTATGCACAGTAAAAGCATACCTCCAGCAATTACCCTTGGTTTGGCACCTAAGACTGCAAGATTAACGTTGGCTTTGCGGCCGTCTATGCAAGGATTTGGGTCCTTTATGGCTTGAAGCGCCTCCTCTTTCTTCATCATTGTTACCTACAAAAAACGTCAAAAGAATTTTGGCAGACTATTAAACACGTTTATTGACTTCTGTTAATTAAAGGCTGATTTTACATCACTGGTAGGCATAAGTTGCATGGAAAGTAAACAAAACTGACTCACTTAATTCCAGGCCTATTCACTTGTAGCTCAATCCTATTAAAAAACTTTTCCTAGCAGTAAATTGAGATTAAGTAATTAACCCATTGGTGTTGCTTAAACAGGCACAAGTGAAGTATTGGTCTACCTGACATGACTTCAAGTTTCAAAAACTCCTGACTTTCTACGAAAGAATATAACTATTTATTTAGATGAAAGGCTCGAATGCGTGTTTCGCTATAATGGGATATGCCCGTTGGGTCCCTCAATCGTCTTGTACGTTATCTTATAATTAATTCTCGAAACCAGATATGATAAATACTTAAAAGGCAGACATTTTGGCTAGATTTACCACGATTGTGAAGGAGAAGACTGAGACAAAACTGCAAATACTACAAGGTATGGTGCAGTTGTGGTTGGCATTGGTAGGCTATCTTCTCAAATGTGTAAATTGATTTACCAATGAGTGTTTGCTTGTATATTTGTAAGATTCCTCAGGGAGATTCTCCTTTAGGCCAACATTCCCAACATTGAATGTTGGCATCCATGCTCAAAGCATGTATTACTGAAATACGGAGTGACGAAATAGGAAAATTTTCGTCATCAAGAGACTGACTTTTTTCCCTTGGTAGTTTTTTACGCTCACACTACGACTTCCTTTCAGAAAGCATGGGAAACTCGAAGGAGACTCGATTGACCGCAAACAATAGTGCATCCCGAACATATATTTGTTAAGCAGTGCTCACTAAATGTCCATACAGACGGAAATGACCGATTCTTGCTCACTCAAATGCTAGTCCTCTCTACTTTTTCAATGTGAATTAAAAGAAAATTCGCGCATAAACTTAACATGGCGTAACCCAGTTCCCCTAGATTGGCCTTGTTCTTGAGGGCGTTGTTCAGTGGATGCGTAAATTTGTAGCAAAGGATAAAGATTAGGCCTCAAAGCCTGTTTTGTCCCTCTGAACCTATTCCGGAAACTTTTCTGACCTAAAACGCAGCCTACTGGGATTGAACACAAAAGACCGCCTAGAAATATGTGTAAGCTGACGACTTTGTCAAAACTCAGAGGACAGAAATGCTAAATTTGGCGTACGGAGCATTCAAATGACCTGTATTGGAACATTTGCGAGTAATTCATGTGTGGAGGATCGGGACGCATGGGGGCTAGGCAGTGTTCATTCATATGATTTCTGCTGTTTCCCTTTGACAGACCATTCCCTTGACTCCCTACACAAATCACACTTGAATGCAGTGTGGATGGATGCAAAGCAGGGATTCACGATTTTTTTTTATAATTCAGTAAACTACCAATTTTTCGAGGCAACCAAACAAAAAGCAGTTTGGTCGCATTGCCTGTGATCTCGCGATTCGTTCAGCATATTGTTCATCTGAACGAAGAAAGCGATGAATCCAGTGGTTAAATGGAGCAGAAGAAGTTATGCGTTAAGTATGAGATTGATGTGATGAAATCTCACCACAGAGTTTATCGCTATGGCGCATCATGCATCAAAAAAGCAAAGTTGGAGAGCTGAACACTTGTTCCAACATTTTAGGCTCTAGACGTCAAAGCAAGCTTGAGGCTATCCCTAAGGCATGTCCAGAATAAAAGTTTATACACGGGATTTGTAATTCTGTTTGACGAAGCCTTTTCTGCAAAAATGACCCAGTGGTGCTAATGTCAATTACTCGGTAATCTGTACTTATTAATTCATTGTGCCTTCAATGCAGTGATAGCGTATGGGACACGTTAGGACTTAATTTATGTCTCCTGAGGGTAATTTTGAAACTGCAGATTTCTCGCTTTCCTCTAAGAGCAGCATTAATGGGCGTTTCATTATCTTACAAAAATAGCAAACAAAATTCTTATTTCTTTTAGACTCAAACTGAATTTAATAATTTCCCTTGAATTTAGTTAAATTACAAATTGAAGTGCTAGTCGAACCCAATTATCAGGACTGCTTGCGTAAATGCAACTGCATATTCTAAACATTTTAAAAGCTCAAATGATCTTATGAGAGTTAGTAAAGGCCTGGCTTGTATCGTGGCACGTAGAACCGAATGACAAAGAACCAATCGCAAATAATAAGTCGGATAATGCTAACGCTAATTATTGTATACTGACGCTTGAACTGATGCCTGTTTGTGTGTAAGACAAAAATTTTACAAAACTATACTTGAAAGCCATAAGGCCTGGATTTGTGAATTATTCATAGGTGCATGTGACCGGTGTTGGCGCCACGATAATGCAGTGTGCATGGTTAGGTGCACTAAGGTTTGGTTATGCTCCTTGGTGTTCTGAAGGCGCAAGGTGTATAAAAACGACAATTCATGTCGGAGAATAGAGTTCTCCATCTCCAACTCCCTTCAATAAAGAGGGAACTTACGAATCCATATCCACGGCTCTTGCCAGTCTGTCTGTCGGTTATCACTACTGCCTCCTCAATTTCTCCAAACCGTTCAAAGAAAGCCCGTAGACTGGCATCTGTAGTGTGATAGGGTAACCCACCAACGAAAATCTTTGTAAAAGTAGTATCCTTTGTGTGGTACTGAGACGATGAGTTACCGCCATTATTTGACTGGGGCTCGGTAGACGCGCATCCAGAAAGCATGGTACGTAGGTGTGCCGACCACCTGACTTATTTTCAATTGTAAAGACGCAAGACCGTAATTACCAGCATAATTCTAACCTGCACGCGGTCAATCGTGAGTGCACACGAGAACATGCAGTCTTAAAGCGCACCAATCAATACACCTGATGTGGGTCGGTGAAAACCAATCACATTTTTTCTCTTCTTAGCCATGGACGCACGCATGGCTATGTGTGGCTCCTCATAGTAATGTGACGTGCGTACATGTGAGTACGTGAGTGCAGTTGAAAGGTCATCTCTTAAGGGCTGAATCAACACATGTGGTAACACGAGCTTATTGTGTGTGACAGCAAAATTATTTTTGCTAAAGACCTGTTTCAGATTGTCGTGCCACTGCTTGCAATATGACAGAAACTGAAGCCGTAATAAATGTGCATGCCAAAATCGATAACAATAAACAAATTTAATGACAGTCTATAAATGAGATTTCTTTATGCATAAAACCTGGTGGAAGCTTTGAATTCGTTTGTGCTTTCTGTTCAAATTGGCTAATGATTTCAGGGGCTCTCTGACTAGACATCATAAAAAAATTAATTTAAAGGGAAAGAAACCACTGGTGACATTTTTTGGTAAGTCAACAGAGCATGCAGGGGTTTGTGTGGAAATACTACACTACGGGAGCTTTTGCACATGTTTTGTGGCTCGTATTCAGCTAGGACGTGACGCAAGCAAACATGTTCAGTTTCTCCTTGCACGAATTCAGTAGAAATTAGTGCTAAAATTACACCCTTTAGAGGTTTAAAAGTTAAAGTAAAAAAACCTAATAAACTCGTGATCAGGCATTGTTTTCATCGGCAAGTTCTTTGTATGATCAAATAATTGGAGTCCACCATCTAGTTTGGCACATTTTATTGCAGCAACACTTGCGGAAAAAATTTTCCATTTTCTCTTAAAATTTGACATTTGTTTATGCTGAAGTCTTGGCAAAGGACTGCAGAGTTGTGACGTAATAATCAATGTAAAGACCTCTCATAGTCCTCACTATCAAGTAATGCTCAGGGTGCAATTAACTGATTTTGCACATGAAGATGGACGGTTTTTGAGTTTTCACCAATAAAATAGAAGAGAGAGAATGCGACATTTAAATGTGAAAGTCCTGGGTTTACATTTCTGAATTTCATATATATATCCTCTACCCCTAGCTCGCTCTCGTTCAATCCACATGATAAACATTATCGCCAATAATTTATTTACAAAACGGAGAATTAATGCATCATTAAACGTGACGCAACTGTTTATTGTACGCATCACCAACATATTCTTGTACTAGTATTATGTAAGTAGAATATATGTGTCAATTTAAGTCGTTTGCTGAAATAAGAAAAGGCGAGGATCAGTGCCGTTGAGCTTTGGCGTTTCTGGTACTTGCATTTACAACGTGAATGTATGTAAACGCACTTTGGAAGAAAAGTAAAAATTTACAGAAAATGTACTTTATAATTGGTTGCATTTGCACATGCTTATTTGGGTCCCAACCAACAGCTAAGACAAAAAATTATTAAAAAAATATTTTTCTCGGATTTGGACATGTGATGTTACTAAACTTAACCACCCTTAGCTTTTTGAATACAGCGTATCTGAACAGTAAAATGATTACTAATTTACCTATTTGCGTAACAAAGGAGCTGATATATCAAGGTTCAGACAGAAAGAGTTCAGCAGATTCAATTATCTTTTTAACTTCAAATCTCACTTTGTAGGATTTGCACCCTAAAGTGTGCACTAATTCATCAGTTCGCAAAGTGCTATTCAATGCATAATCGATATTATGTGCAGCTTTAAACATTAAACCTAACTCATACACGTAATTTAACTTTGTTTACCTTCTAACATCAGGATTAAATGAGTTGGTACGAGTTAGTAACGGAGTTCAAGTCCGCATCCATCTGGCCAGTCCACGTCCTGCACCACGACGCTGAGGCTTCGGTTCGACGTGCGTCAACCAACCAATCAATCCGATCGGTGTCAGTAGATAATCGATCTAACGGACAGCAATGCCGAATTAGATATTGCACCACAATATGCAAAACCACACACTTCCACTAGACTTTGGCATGACATGAGTATCAAACATTACCCTTGGACTTATACATAATCACCAATTAACTAACTGGGAAGAGGAGATAAGTATCTCGGGTGTAGTGGCGAGGCAGATACTAGCCACCTTGTCGCTAAGCCATTGGTCGAGGTCATGTGATCGGTAGCGTGACTTCTCGTTTACTGCGTTGTCTGTCTGCATTGTAGGATTGGCGAGCAGACTAAGGAGAGAATAGGATAGCCCAGAGGCAGCTATAATAAAGACTTTTGTTCCCCTTGTAAACCTGAACCATATCGTGCTATTCATATGCCTGTAATAAATGCCATTTATTTTGTCCTATGGCTATTGTACTAACGAGGGGCTGGAAAGTTACACCGATCAAACCCGCTGTCTTCAGTACTAAACGAGAATCGCGAAATCATGTCAGATCAAATTTCTGAGTGGTGTAAGGCTACGGTTGTTCTGCTAATACCATAATCATCATCCTTATCGATGTTACTGACAGTTTAAGCTAAGTTATGCTTCACATGCACCACGATTGGATTTCTTCCAGTTAAAGTTATCCAATTCAAAGTCAAAAGTAATGACGATATTTATTTAAAAGACCTATCGTTTGACATTGCATATTTTAAAAACAAGCCCTTTTAGCACATATTTTCGCCTTAAGTGTGTTTTCCTCATCCAGTTAGGTGTACCAAATATCCCTTGAATAAAAAATTTCACAAGTGCCTTATCTTAATTTTCGAAGGTTCATTTTTTTACAGTTTCATCACAGCCTCTATGATCCTTACTTTCTAAAATCCATTTTGAGTCTTTAAGTGCCTTAATCCTGCACCGCTAACTAGCAAACCGCTAACTTGACGCAATTTATTAGATGCACTTACTCTGTCTTGCCGCAACACTTTATGCTTAGTTGTAGCAGTGATTTTTGCCAAGTTTACCTAAGCTAGCTCTCTGTAAGGTACACTAATTTTGAAATGACCGGAGGCTTGGGTTGAGGCCACTTTGAGCTGATAGTTCACGGAGGCTCTGTACGCTGGACAGGGCAATAAACTCTCGAGTAGGATGGATGTGATCTTTTGTTGGCAGTTTGAGTTCGCATTCTGTAGTGACAAATGCTGAGTAAAATGGTAGTGTTTGCTTGCACTAATTTACAATCCCGCATGTTAGCGTCCCAGAACTACTCGGGAACAGAGACGAGGTAGGTTATAGGGGTTACGATCGTTTACCCGTGTCGGGGGTGCGTAGTCGTAATTGTCGAGCCACTGTCAACGGCCACCAATAGTGGCACATTGACATCAATCAACCCGTGAACGAGCTTCGCTGACGGTTCACTAACGATTCAACGCCACACAGGTCTCAGATCGAATTCGCCTTGACGTCATGGTAGACCCGCACTAGTGGCTTCCATTGTCTGGGTTTCTGTGGTAATTTCTTAATAAGATCCATTCTGTGGAAGCAGGCAAAAGTGCCCTGTTGCTTGATTCGAGCAACAAAAGCACATATAATAGGACATTATACCACGAATATTCATGCTTAACGCATCCGCAGTTTTATTTTGGAAGTATTCTGTACTACCTCTTAATTGAGGCCTTTCAAAAAGGTCAATTAATTTAATCAAGGCAGGCGGAATTCTCCATTTTGAAAAAATTTCAAAGATATTACTGCTAATTTTATTCTTCGTATGCTCGTAATAATTGTTTAATCGTGTGATCACTCAAAACCATTGGAAGTGATATAAATGGAACGCAGTTACAAATTTCAAAAGCTGGTTCAAAATGTAAGTTTGGTAAAAGATAGGGGAAACCAGAAAAGTCAGTAAAGAATCACTGAATGTACAAACAGAGAAAATGGGTTAGCTGAGGTGTGTGCAGAGGTTTGTGAATGGACGGAAAGTGGTTGAATCAGGCCTTCACTGGGTGATCTGGAAAGCAGTCACTATTGCCGCTTGACCTTGCAATTAAAAGCCACAGAACTCATCTTACCGCCATTACGCAAGGACGCTTAAGGGTCAGACTAAATCACTGCAATCCAGTAAATAAGACCAGATAAAGAGGCCTAAACTGACTTCAAGTATTTCACACATTGCATAAATAAGGCCTCAGGTTATCCTAATTTACCCCTTGTACGAGAATAATTCAAATATGCTTCAGAACCGACGCTCTTAAATTTTACTTTTGCCCACTTATCGATGAGGCCTAAGTGAGTCGTGTTATGCATTCTACCAAAGAAAGTTGCCTAAATGGCCTTATAAAGGCTTTTTTAGCACAAAACAATTTCTTATTCAAGTACATTTATGGTCTTCAACCAAAGATAATTAACAGCCAAGGGAATCACAAACCTTGCCCTTATCAAAATGAGCATGGATAGTGTAAGATCTCGATTAAACAGATTTTCCATTCTAAAAATAAAGGGACCCCTATATTTTAGCTTGGTTGCACACTGAAGTTGAAGTATCAGAAAACTAGGACTCCTTATGATGAATAACACTTCGATGATTGTCATAAGTCTTTATTAATTGAATAGAAAAGTGCATTTGGAGGTTTTGGAGTTAGTTGCAAGCTTCGGAGCAAAATTTTTCGAAATAACAATTTATTTTCACATAACTGTTCGAAAGCATGCAACCCAAGACTGTTAAAAACTCTAACCTGGCATTTGGTTCTGACAGAAACCAAAATACATTTCTAAGGTTATGTCGTTGGGGAAGCACTGGGCCTAGCGTTTTATGAAAAAAATTTACAATTTCAATTAATTAATTTTTGGTTCTGGGCCAAAAAGTTAATTTGCAGGTCCAGTCACTAAATGGTAACTGCTAGATGTAAGTGCTTGGAAATCACAATTTCTTACTGACATATTACCTGCCTTTAAATCCTTTTTCCGGAGATCCCGAGAATCGGTTTCCTGAGGAAACAAAACAGCCATG